TTTTTGGCAGACAATCACTTTTTGGCACAACACCGGATCAATCTCGAAACGGGGTAAACTTGAGGACGTTAATACTTACAAGAAAAATATATAATTGGAATCAGATTAGTAGATGATATTGAGGATAAAAACTGGAAAAAACAACTAAAAAAGGTTAGCAAGAAGAAAGGTTTTAACAGAATGTTCAAAAACCTTTTCATAATGTTAAAGTGCTGGCACACTGTTGGAACCACAGATTCTTTTAAAATATATATATATTATAAGTCTGTCCATCCTTAAACTAAAATCATACACACTGTGATGTCTACACTGAGTATAGTCCCGGGGGAAACGCTTCAGCAGTTTGACACTCAGGCCAGTGCTTCATGGTGCTGCAGTGCTGTCACCTCACAGCAGGAAGGTTCCTGGTTGAAACTGATACTCTTACCTTGGCTTTAAAGAAAGAAAAAATACTGAATGTCCTCAGAACATCTTTCACAATAACTTCTTGAATCATGATCAGTTACTGTAGTTAAAGAGCAGGGGATCTGGTCTTTTTGGGGCTTCTTTGAGTGACATATGGTGGTTTACATTGTTAACATTTAGGCAGTCTATTGACAATTTATATTGTATTTATCTTTTATATTGTTGTATTTTACCATAAAACAACTTAATTGTTTACAGAATGAGATCTGACTACACACTGGTGACGCTACTGTAGAAACAACAACATACAAGTCCAGAGGGGATAGTAGGAGGTACAGCATGACGGATGGCTGTGGCTCAAAAGGTAGAGTGGGTGATCTACCAGGTGGAAGGTTGATCATTTGATCTCTGGCTGCTTCAGTCTGCATGTCCAAGTGTCTTTCGGGTTGTCATGATACATCCGTGAGAGTGTGTGTGCCAATGTATAGAAGACAGTGCTTGTCTGTGAATGGGTGAATGAACCTTGTAAAACAGAAATAGAAAAAAGCAGATAGTTAGAAAAGCGGTACATAAGTCTGTTTACCAAAAATACATGTTCACACGATGAAGGAAAGATTGAAAAACAGAAATGTGCTTATTTATGCATAACTCTTTTAAAAAAGAGCCACAAGAGTAAAGAAATGTAGGGTTGCTGCATAGTTTACTTAGTTCTGATCCAGATTAATGTTTCATACTGCGAATCATTAAACACCCCATCTCCATTTATATGCTGTAGGTTGTTTTAATCAGCAGTTTGTTGTGTGTCTCTGTGTTATACATTTGCAAAGTTGTGATACTGAAACTATAATATTAGCTGTTACGCTTTGAGGGACACAAACTGTTAAGTCACTCCATTTTTATTTAAACGTGGATGTCAATTCCCCACTTACTTGCTGAGTTAGCTTTTAATTGTACTTAAACTATAAATAATAAATTTGGTCTAAATCCAGCTTATCATCAGGTACTGTTATGGTGTATCTACCTCACACACACACTGCACAGTCCAGGCTGGTGGAAACCTATACACAATCATACTGTACCACTACAAAGGCACACAGATACATTACAGTGAGTTTTTTCTAAATATATATTATCATTCAAATCACGTGCCCGTCATGTGCACAAGAAGACGCGTTTACTGCAAAGCAGAGCGTTTCAAAGTCTATCACACAAAATAAGCGCAGAGAATAAAAGAGACAAGCGCGCGTTCATGTTGTTGTGAAATCAGGAAATTACTGTATTTCCAAAGGTATCTGCGCGCGGAGAGTCACATGACTGAGAACATTGCGGTCACGTGATTTCGTTTACAGATCGTTACAGGAAACTTGTAATCAGACGGTTTGTGTTGGTTTGTACGTGACGGACGTGTCAGGCTTTTATCACAGTAAGTCAGGACCAAACGTATCGCACCCCACGCTGATATAAAACACTTCACTCGATCGGTTTGTTTACTATTTCTAACTTTCAACATCCCGGAACCTGTTCGGTCACAGTCACGTGTCTGAAGAAGCTACAGTAGTCTGAGATTAGTTTCTCTCTGTGTGGACTAGTAAGAGCACCAGAGTGGAATCATGCGTGGCCTCGTCTGTGGACCTAAACTCGCCGCATGTGGGATCGTGATGAGCATGTGGGGAGTTGTCATGTTGGTAAGTGTGGAGATTGTGCTTTGCTGCGTCGTTATGCGCCACGAATTTACTGTTCACTCAGTCACGTGATTCCAGTTTCTTAACATTACATATTTAAATGTGTCTGAAAACGGAGCCTTAACTCTTACATATACTTGTGTGTGAGCCACGTGGGTTGAAATAAAGTTAGATTTTGAGTCCAGACTGACCTTTTTAAACTTAAAACGTGATGTGCTGTTTCTGTTTCTGTGCAGACAGTGTCAGGCCTGTTAAACCAGCAACTATAACAGCAGATCTGTTGTTTGACTTTTCTGAATCTCCCTCCCAGTGTTAGTAGAGGGCAGCTTAGGAAGCTCCAGTTAAAGAGTAAAGAAAGACTTCTTTAAGTCAGTTTAATCCAATAGCGTATTAAACAGTCCTGTTTTGTGTGAATGTTTAGGAAGCATTACAAAAACATATCTGGATCATAAAGAACTGTACCATGCTGTTATGTTCATTACATTTGGGACCACATTACAAGTTACTCTGAGCCGCTGCTTGACTAATATACCCCTCTCTGTCTCAGGCCTTGCTGGGCATCTTCTTTACAACACATTCAGCAGTACTGATTGAAGATCTGTCTTTGACAGAGGAAGACACATTTAAAGAGTAAGTCTTGTGCTATAACACATCACTCCAGATCTCTGCCTATGCAGCTGCGCTCTAGCTCAATACTGGTGTGTTTGAGCTGGACTGATGCACTGCATGTTGGTCATCCTGTCAGCTGCAGGTATCCTGCTCCTGCAGAGACAGTCACCAAATTTCTGCCTTAAATAGAAGGAATGAAAACAGACAGCAGAAAAACGCTCTTTCCCTCGTAAGATGTAAATGAAGAAAAGGTTAATGATGTTATTTGATATTGCTGTGTCTTTTGTAGAAACACCATTCTTCCTTGAAAGTTGAAATCTGCCTCATCAATAAACCACAGGTCACCAAATCTGTCCAGCAGACAGAAAGAAATCCTGTTTTTGAACACAATGCAGCGTTTGGCCTCCACTTAGCTACTAACGAGCTAAACATGGACATTTTAACAGGAATATAAAGAGTAAAATGGTTCAATCTGGTCCAGAATGAAAAACAGGAAGTTTGGACTCAAAGAGTAGCAGAGTGACTTCCTCATTATCAGCTGACTGCAGGTTTCCAACCGTATAAACGCTCGTTTTAAGAGAAAACATCCAGATAAACAGAATCAACCTTTTGGGGGAGGGGTAGCAAATCTTGGGCTAAACGACCGTCCTGTGTTTAATAAGCCCTTACAGGCACAGCTCAGTTGAGCTCAGTTTCTATTCGATAGCACTAAATCACAAAAACAGTTGCCTCAACTCACTTTGACAAACAATCAACACAGAAATACATAAAGTGCAAGTGTGCAAAGCTGGCAAAAAACCACCAAACTGTGCAACACCAGACAGAACAGAATGATGCAGACACAACGGTGCACATCTGTACTTCACATCACATCAGAGTCAGACACAGAGCCTGGTCGTTGTGAGGGGAGTAGTCTTCCTCATCATCACGTCCTGAGAGTCAAACCGTGCGTAGAAGTTGTTCAGCACATCTGGTACGGAGGCGTCACCCTCACAGGCAGGTGTTGTCTTCCTGTAGTGGACTGGAGGACTGAGAACCTTCAGAGAGTCTTGGAGAGTCCGGGTTCCCCACTGAGCCATGATCCTCTCTTTCAGCTGTACTTGCCTTCAAAGCCTTTACTGCACAAGTTGTTCTTGGGGCTTGTTGGGTGGGAATGACAACGATATCTCCCCCCC